TACTAATTTTCAACAATTATCAAACTCCTATTTTCATCAATATATCTCAAATCTGAAGAGAAAAAAGATAAAAATTCAATTTTTTAAAATCTTAATCTATATATTTGGATTGTAATTCTTAATATGTAAGATTTAAAAAAACTAATGTTATATAAAATATGAATAATATTACATTATTAAATTTTACTATGTTAGTGTACTATATTTTTTATTATGTATTAAATTGGTTATTTTTTTCACTTTCGAAATAATATCCCGTGCATCGCACGGGGAAAAAACACTAGTTAGTAATTACAAAGGGGAGGTATTTGCAATTAACTCAATTATATTGTACTGAATTTGTTGGAGAGAAAACAAATAAATCACCATCACAATTCTCATCAGTTCCACCACTATCAATTGGCTTACAAGGTCCTTGTGGCTATCCGGGTTTCGATCTAAACTGCGACAACATCCGTTCTCCGTAAATGTTGTTGTGAAGGAATTCAACTATAATTTAGCCGAAGTCAACTATAACTCATTCATCAGTTAGTTATATTAAGGATTAAATACACTTTACACCCTTAAAGTATGACTATTTTAACACTTACCTTCCTGAAATATCACTTGTAACAGTTACCCCCTCAACTATTATTTAATTAGTATATTAAAACTAAAAAGACGCAAATACCCTTATACTCAGTGGCGGATCTAGCTATGGTGTAGGGTGTGCAGTTGCACACCATTGATTGTAAACAAATAGTACTGTTATACATATGTTAACAAAAAAAGTAGGTTGTTGAGGTGGTAAAGATATGCCTTTTTTTATTAATAGGTCCTAGGTTTGAACTCCACCCCTTTCAATATTTGATTTTTTGGTCCACCATTTTGTTTCCAAATCTTAACATTTTTCACATTTTTTCTCATTAAATATTTCCACAATTCACCTAAAATTTTTAAATTGTAAATTTTTGGTCCACTATATTTATAAAGTGATATTTAAATTTTTTAGTCTACAATTTCGAACCCCCTTGGCAAACAATTTCGAACCCCCTTGGCAAAAATCCTAGATCCGCCACTGCTTATACTTACACATTATTTACTGAAGAATTTAATTGGAAAGAAACTATGTCAACTAACTGAACAATGGAATAAATACTATATAAATATAAAATGTTTATCTAGGTTGCACTCGAATAAATGCTTAAAGAAAAAAAAAATATGATTGAATTAATTTATTAAATAAGTTGAGAACAAAAATTATTATATACATCCAAATTTTTACAATTGGAAAAGGCTAGGATCGAATATTTTTTTTTTATTTCGAGTTTTGTTAATTGTGGGTGCATGATATATTAATTTGTTTTTTGAACAGTACTCAAACCGTAAATTTGAATTTTTAATTAGTTGAATTTTCTTGTAAAAAACGTGAATCAATCTTTTTTCTTTAAATTATTTCATTAAATAAGTTGGGATGATTTTAAAATAAAAATTAATGTATTGGCATTTTCAGTTATTATTTTTAATTAGATAGTTAAGATAAAAATAAAAAATAAAAATATGTCAGCCAATAATAAATAATAATTTAAAGGGTATGAGTGTCATTTCAAATTTAATGTGCACTTTCTATAATATATAAGGGGGTAAGTGTTACATTATATACTCCAGGGAGGTAAGTGTTACGAGGGTCATACTTTAAGGGTCAAAAGTGTATTTAGGGCCCGTTTGGTAAAATTAAGCAATGAATGCTGAATATATGGCTGAATCGTTAAGAGTAGTGTCTGAATACTGAATGTTGAATGTTTAAGCTTGTTTGATAACCTTAAAGTTATTGTATCTGAATAATGTAATTTTACTATATAAACCCTCATAATTATTGAACATATAATTATTTACTAGAATTGTAAATTATT